GTGTTTTTCATCATGTGTCAATAAACCGAAACGAATGAGTAGGCTATAGGCTATATGTGATCTAAAACAAAAAATACGCAATCTCCTTTTTTCTCTCATTTTATTCTAAATATTTAGTTATTCGGTCTTAGATGCGGGTTATTTTCATTAAGTGTCACAAGCAGGTATTATTGTTCATTACAACGACAACAGCTTGTGCGTCTGCGTTGAACTGTATAAAAAGTACTTGAACACATGAGAGGCAGCAAGATCACAAGAAAAGCTTGCCACAGAATATACCATGTAAGATGCCATTTAGGTGACTGTACATTTTTAAAAGCTTTTCTATTCATTATGATATTAATATAGGAAGTGTTGTTGTCAAAGTAAGTTTCATGTTTTAAAACTGTTTGACTTTTGTTTTTTGTTTTCGGACAATGACTTGGAGAAAGCTGAGAGAGACAGTCACTGGAATTTTTATTGTCCAAGCTGAAGGTGCAGGACCTGAACAACCACCATTGCAATGTTGGGATCCTTGTTTGAATGAGTGAAAGTGCTTCAGCAGCTTGGAGATGTCACCAAGGCTTGTGCTCTCCTCTTGGCAGTAATACATAGCTTGAATCTTAGCTATCCATCTGATCTCATGTCATGTACAACTTCAAGTTTCTTCAAAAGGTGTTAATGGAACTTGATGCAAGCAAACTTTCACACAAAATTCAGGTACTTAAAAACAAACTTGTGGAATAATTCATCGATGTTTAATTCTCATTCCAGTACAATGCTGCTGTTTATTTTTTTTTATTTTTTTTTTGTATAAAAAACATGCCAGTCATAAATATTCCTTTCTATAAGGGTCAAATTCTGTAGGACTTTGGGGTGCATGTTAGACACGAGTTGTCATGCTCATTTGTAGAATTTATTGAAAAATTAATTTACAACTTTAAAGGCACACTATGCAGGAATTCCGTTTTTGTCAAACAGCGACCCCTAGAGTCGCTGTGGAGTACTTGTATTTAATGTTACTGTCATAAATACTACTCACACAGAGCGTCTCTGCCATAGTCTCTGCACTCACAGCCTGATACCCCTTTGAAGCTGTTATATTAAGGTACAAATCTTGCATGGTGTGCATTTTTTGCTTTAAATAAGAGATCTAGCGCTAAAATGTGTTTTTGAACTCAAGCGGAGCGCTCGTGTCCGCTGCTATCAGTGTCATGGATACATAGTGTCTCTTGTGGCAGCGCGCGCGCAGTCTTCACTCGGATGCGCTCTTCAATCGATCGCAATTGCGGAGACTCTCTATTCATTACAGTGAAATCACAAAAACTAAAATGCACAAAAAACGTGTCCCTGCTTGATACAGACTGTAACCACTGATGAACATATTCAGTTTTGATGAGAGAGAAAAAACTTAGAACCTGTAACCTCTGACACGCTTGGCAAAAGATCTACCACTAGACCATTAAAGAACTCAAACAAAACTTGCGGATCGATGCATTTATTTACGGGTTGAGAGGCTCATTCTCTTTTCCTAGTCTCTTCCGACTGCGTTTTCTTGGCTTTTTCCATCGTCGAGTATCACGTCTGAAATGCGCGCAAGTGTCTTCGTGCTTCATGTTGTGGTTGATGTGTGTGACGTCGTTGCCGTAAAGCATGTCGTGATTCTTGCGAGATTTGTCGGGGGCGCTCCTCTCAAACTTGCATTGCTGGTTTTTCCAGCGGCGCCCCCCCAAGCTTCACTACCAGGATGATTCGCCCTACTATGAGTTTGTTACCACCGAAATGACTTTGAAGCTGTTATATTAAGGTACAATTCTTGCATAGTGTGCCTTTAAGACTTGGTTGTATTGCAAATAAAAATTTGTTTCTGAAAAATAGTAGTCTGATAATTTAACGGTTTTCTTGAATTGCAATTACAAAGCAACTAAAATCCTTAAATGTTTATTGCACACTAAATGTTCATAAATTTAACATAACATTAAGTACATGTAGTGACTTTAGGGTTTCTTTAGAAACATTACATAATTTAAATGTTGCATGGACTAACAAAATCCTAGTAAAGTCACTATTACATATACATAGTCAACTTTACACAAGCAATTTAGTAAATGCAACTTAATTTTTGTTGTTGTTGTTATTACTGTTGTATTTAAGGAGTTTTTGTCAACTTTACACAAACTTTTTTTAGTAAATACAACTTACATTTTGTTTGTTGAGATTACTTAAAGCTATGTGGAACCCACTTCACAAAGTTTTTTTTTAAGTAAATCCAACATTTTTTTTTTTTTGAGTGCACAGTATATAAACATTCATGGTAATAGTATCATAGACAGTATAAGAAATGGACAGAGCCATCTCATTGGCACTCAGTTGAGACAGTTGAAGCCCATTTTTAGCGATTTCTGAGCACTTCCGTTCCTGACGCGCAGACTCAAACCGACTCAAACTAAGCTTGATGACGTGAGCAACCTGTCTGACAGACGTTACTCTTCTAGTAGCTGTGCGTGAAAATTGCCAACGTTAATCTTGCAGAGACGGGGAACTTGAGCAAAGAGTTCTTTGGCGTGAGTGAGCAGGAGTAAGTATTCCGTTGCTTTTATGGACTCATTATCTATGGGCTTCTCCCTTGACGGGGCGTCCCCCCGATTGCCTGCGAGCTTCTCCTCCTGTCTGTACGGTAATTTCTTTACAGCGCGACAGAGAGTCGAGTGGTTATGACGCAATCGTTAGCCTATTTTTACTAAAACTGTTTCTACGGGGCCATAATGTAACATAGAAGGTAATGGAGCACTTTATACATTGTCGTGTTTCTTTAGAAATAAATAATGGACAAATGGAGTCTTTAAACGCCTCAGATGTAAAGTTATTCGCTGTCAAAGTGATGCCAAAATTAAATGGGAGTCAATGGAAATGCTAACGCAAGTGAAGTTCTGCTACAACATGGCGGCACCCGGCCGGCTTCAACTTCCGGTCGATGGATTACCCCCTTGAATAGTATTCAGAGACTGAGTTGAGGATGTTAGGATGATTCATTGGTGCTTCAAACCCAAGCAGTTGATGATGAATATTGAAGTAACTTTGATATTGAATGCAGAGTTATATTTTAAAAAGATCATTCTCACATGCTCCTCTCATCTGAGCGTGACAAGCCCTATGGACATCAGTGGGCATATTATCCTCCTTTTACCTCTTTAGCCCATAGTGTTGGGTTCTTAGAACGGGCACAATGGAGGTCTTATTTAAGTATTAAGGAACTATAAATTAATGTTGCAGGTTTCTTTTTTTTTGTATACGAAAAGAAAAATGGCAGCTGATCTGCACATGCCTTCGCAACAAAACTAAGGATGAAGTTACAGCCAGGAGGCCCTGAGTAAATATGATCAATGGTGGAAGATTTCTGGGTAAGTGGCATGTCATGAAAAAAGAATGAATGTAGTGTGTCAGGAAAAAAGACAGACTGATATTGCAGTCATGGTAGTCACTCTGTCTACTCTTATTTTACTGAGGATCATGTGGATTTAAACATCAAGTGCAGAGTCTGTTTTACTATTTACCAGGTGCTTGAATTTAATGTTTAAATAAAAATTCAGTTATATTGTGTAAAAAAATTAAATTTGAAATAACTGTTTTCTATTTTAATATATATATTTCAAATGTAATATACATAACTGCAAAGCTGACTTTTCAGCATCATAACTCCAGTCGTCAGTGTCACATGATCCTTCAGAAATCATTCCAATATGCTGATTTGCTATCAGAAATTTAGAATAAGAAATTTGCTAATAATTTCTTATTATTATCAATGTTGAAAACAGTTGTGCTGCTCAGTGTTATTTTAGATTTTATTTCACTTGTATTATTGGTTTTAATTAGCTTTAATATTTAGTTTTCATGTTAATTTTAGTTTAATTTGTATTGATTTCATTATGTGCTTTTGTCAGTGTATAGATTTTTATTTAGAATATTGCTATTTAGGTTTAATTTCTTTTTATTTTAGTTTTCATATTAGATATTTTATTTATTTATTTCCAGTTACTAATTTTAGTGCTTCATAAACTTATTTCAGTTTATTGCCAAGACAACAACAGTATTAAATAATATTACAGTAACATACACATACATTTTTGCATCTATTTAGTATTTCATGACCACCTTTTTGTAGGATTTGTAGAGTAGAAGTTTTCTATTTTTGCACGTTCTATATGACACATTTAACATGAATAATAGGGCTGTGTATCCCTTTAAGGGAACTCCACTGCCTCCTTGTGGACACAACTTTAAAAAAATTGGTACACAGTTTTGGGGCAGGCTAGTGTATTTTTTCCTCGGCTTGTTTTCACTCGGAGTGAGGGATCGAAGTTGACAAAACAAATGTGAGCCGTGGAGTCACGATTCGGTGTATCACAGCTCAGGTGGATCTAGATGATGGACACGGAGAAGAGAGTCCAAGGGAGTACACGCGGACTACACGATCAGATTTCACCGCTGCATTTCACGAATCAGTAACATCTAAACATTTTCTCTGACTCGAATGACAACAGCGCTCGATCACTGGCCGCTGGTTGTCCTGCCGCAGGACAGTGAGTGTCTGTCTGGTGCAGTTTCATTTGCTACCTTGCTGCAAAGTTGCTGTCGCGCTTAACTTACCTGTTTATATGAGTTTTGAATGCGTAATGAGGTTTACATCGGCGAGACCACTTGTTGAAATCTCACGAAACTAAGTTCAGTGTTGTGAGCAATAAGATTGATTGAATTGACCATATAAGTGGGTCGCTTGCTGTCATTTACTGTTCGTTTGTGACATTTCGTTAGTGATATTTTGATTGTGTCATATCGCTCATTAGCTGGTTAGCTGTTACGGCTGACTTTACCCTGTACGTTAACGTTACCTGACCGAGCAATATCTGTCAATTACACACATTTAGACAGTTATATTACCAACTGTCTACCGTAATTCATAAATAATGGTAGGCACTTAAATATTTATGCGTAAATCGTAATTTTTTTTTTTTTTTAATGCTTCTTGTCAGAATCTAAAGTATTTAGCTCGCTAGCTAGAGTCGTTACTGAACTTGTTTCGTAAAGCCAAGTGATTTTTTTAAGCTTTGTTGTTTGGCAGTGTACAGTATTCCACATCTCATCCTTTTCCCCCCCACGATACAAGGAAATAACTTGTTTTAGTGATGCCAAACAAAACGGTCATAAACGCTTGAATATAACGTTAGCTATAGCAATGTCCAGTTTCCTGACAAACTTTTAGCAAATTCGGCTCATCGCCTGTTTACAAAAAATAGCGTTATAAGTATAAATAATTCCTATATATCATTGTTACTTGGTACTTCAGCTGATTTAAGTCCATCAAGTTGTTATTAATACGTTTTCGTCGCGTTTTCCAGCTCATTAATGGTGGCAAAGCTCTTGTCATTAAAGCGACATCGTCAAACCTCTCTAAAGCATCTGGGCTGCACTCTTACACGCTTTTCAGACATGGAGGGACAAGTTAAAAACATTTGACTGACATATCGACAACATTCAACAGTCAGTTCCCTGTGAAGTTGATCTCGAAACTCTGCGGCCCAGCCATGTCTGGATCCCCGGGCTCGAGTGGCTCCAACCCGCGGAAGTTCAGCGAGAAGATCGCGCTGCACAACCAGAAACAGGCGGAGGAGACGCGGGCCTTCGAGCAGCTCATGACAGACCTCACCGTCTCAAGGGTAAGCACAGCCAAATTAGGAAATTACCTCACTCCCTCGATTTCATACATCAAATGCAGATGCCTAAGTGTGTCCTATGCGCAACTGAATCACTGTGAATGTGAAATGCCCGACAGATCGAGCTCATGAGGAGGGATGAGAATGTCAGTGTGTCTCTGACTGCTGTCATTCACACTGCACGCATTCGATTCACACGGACATCATTAAAGCGATCATACTTTTAATTGATCACATCATATTTTCTAGTCATCACTTCATGATTTGTTCATTATGTTTAGTATCAGCTGTGAGTAGCAACAATCGTATTTTTTTCTTTAAGTACAGATGTTTTTGATAGTCATGATGACCATAGATAGTCAAGTCACTATGGCAACCATAGTTTCCAGCCAAGATACCATAGTTACCACAGCTATTGTTACTACAATAAAACTGTGGAAACAACATATATGACAGAATGAACACAGAAACAGAAGAGATGTTTCTATGATGTATGTGGATATGTGGGGTGGGGGTCTATGATATCTCAAGTCTATGAGAAGTTGAAATAAAATGTTGTCTTTAAAAATATTGTTTGAAATAATTTTCTATGTGATTTCTTCAAACAGAATCACAATGTAAAGTAGTTCACTTGAATACACTTTTATTATTTATTACACTTTGTGAGTGTGAGGAATCTGATGTAAAGTTTTTAAATTTGCACCTCTTTTTGGATATGTGGAGGGAGTTTTTGTTTGTGTTTTGTAATGGATAATGTACAATCAGTCAATTGTTATTGGAATATAAACCCGTCACGGTTATCGTGTGGAACGCACCGCAAAAACTAGCCTGACAGATACTCGCTGACGACCGACCGTTGGTCTGGTGTGTCCCTGCCTTAAGATACAGTGTTGCCCTTGACATCAATCATTATTCAGAAATACTTGACTGCATGATGTAGCGACTGAACCAGAATCAAATCATTCCAATGAATGAAAAATCAGCAGAAGAGAAAAGCCATTTAACACTCTTAAATATAAAGGACCATAGTTCTTAAAATAACTCTTTTTCTTTCTCAGTGAAGAACATTTTAATCTGAAGCAACTTTCCCCCCATATCAAGAACCCTTTGTGCAGTGGAAAGGTTCCATGGATGTTAAAGGATCTTCATGGAATCATCAAAGCCAATAAATAACCTTTATTTTTTAAAGAGTGCTAAAACTTGACTGATTTTATATTGTTGTAACACCCTTACTCATGCCCACCCTTACTCATGCCCCCGAGAAGATTCACTTAATAGGCTAATTTATGATTTTAAACAAGGACTAGTAACATTTTTTGGGGTCATGTTGTCAAAGGCTTTTATTGTGCTGAGCTGCTTTGCATTTTCAGTTTCATTTACATGCACTTCATGTAAACATTTAGAGTAACATTTGTAATGGTGAACATCATCCCCTAGCTTTGGACTGAACAGTAAAAGAACATGTTCAGGCTGCTTTACTGTTAGTTGTGGAAAAATGCTTGTGTGTATCTTGAGTTTGAGTTATGTTTTTGTTGATGTCTGCGATGGATTTCTTTTTAGCGTTTGAAGTATGGATTAGAGAAAGGTTAAGAAATGTCGGTCAGGTGTAGTGGTTCAACTGTAGGTCTTTCACCAGTAGGAAGTGTTTTACCAGAAAGCAGCTCTGCGGCAGACAGCACTCTGTCTCTGTGTGGAGTCTGTAGGCGGGAATGAATGAACATGATCTGTTCATGATTTGGCTGCCTCCTCTTCTAGGGCACAAGAACGTGGTTGTGTTTGTGTTATAGTACGTTGTCAGAGTTTAAAGTCATAACTCTTTACACACAATCTTTCTTGACAATGGAATGAGCCCTTGAGGAAAATGCTTGCATTTCAGAGAAGTAAAAAAAAAGAGAGGCAAGTTTGTGATCGCTCAAGCATTTCTTGAATTTTGTTCATTTTTAAACATTTTGATCTTTAATAAAACCACTCAATACTACATCAATAATTGCGAATGTTTATATGTGGAGAGCTGACAGACGAAAAAAAAAAGATTGTTGTAGGAATTGCACTTTTCAGAAACATTTACATTGAATGTATTGTAGCTTTCCAAACCTAGTTAGAAATGATCCACCAATGAAATTAGTGTACTGTATGGCAATAATCCCAAAGTAAGCAGCGAAGTGTGTCAATTGCAATGAAATGACTAACAATGCTTCTGGCATGCCAAAGTGACCACTTTTCTTTGTGTTTGGTTTCTCAACATTTCTCGCGGCGCTCAAATAAACAGCATCACAGTGTTTACTCTGTAAACTTTTTGAAGAAGTGAATCCACAAATTGTTTAATTATATTTATGGTGTCTGTCTGCACATTAAACTGGTATCAACAGAGAGATCATTTGACAATTTTTGTCAAACAGTTGTCTTCTTTCGAAACAAGAACACAGTTCAGAATTGGATATGCTTTGAATGTCTGCTTGTAGAAACAGATCTGACACCTTCACGTTTTTGTGGATCTGAGAGATTTGGCGGAAAGCAAAGACCAGATCATGTTTTGCAGAGCTGTAGTGAGTCTTACCATTTTGAGTAGGATGTGATAAACACAAATGTAAACGGAACTTGTCTGTGTGCTGTTACAACACTTGTTGTCCATAAGACCACTACATGTTTGCAACTCATCCAGCTGCAGGTGTGCTTGACTGTCCTTTGGGCATGTCCAGCCTATGCAAGTAGTGGATCAAGGTGTCTCTGTTAGGCCACGGTCACTAGACTTTGTTTGAACGTAATCTACTGCACTTTACTTTTTTAATTCAGCTAAGAGTGTCATATCAATCTTCTATTGGTCGGACCTCTTCACGTGATACAAATTGTCAGAGCTCACCAAACTTGAACTTTGGAACGCTGCAAAAACTTCTTCGCTTGAGCTTGCGTTTCTTGTTTCCAGCATTCACATGCACATGAATGAAAGTCAATGGAACAAAAAGTGTAGTGTGTCCGCCACTTTATTTTTTGAGACCATTTTCCATCTTAAGTGTTTCTTAGTAAAAGTTAACAATATTAAAAACTAAAACTGAGAATTTAATGCACCACTGCATGAGGAAAATATTGAATTGGGGAAACTAGTTAAATTAGTTTATTTTTAATGTAAAATAATGGATAACATTTTTTGAAGGATATAATACACTCAAAAATATTTAGGCCCAAATTTAAGATTCCACAAAAAAATCATGGCATAGTATATTATTATCTGTTTGACTTGTGGCATTTTAAATGCAATTTGAAAATATGATTATTCAACCAAAGTGCTAAATCTGTTCATTGTGAAAACTATTACATTTGTTCAGTTTAAAAGTATGAACACGGTTAAAATATGTCTGTAGAAAACTCTGTAGAACAAGCAAGCAATATTCAGTTATTTAAAATTGAGATTGAAACAAATTAGATTTATTAATGAGAAATATATAAACATGTTTGCTGTGTATTTAAAATATAAAATCAGATTATTAGGAGTACTATTACAGAAATCTTACCTGTCTTAACTGTTTTTCTTAACTAATATTTGTATGTATGACAAATATGCTTCACATTAAAATTATTAGTTTATGTTAAAACTGTGTAATCAAAATGGATGGACATTTTATGTGCAATTCAAATACGTAATCTTAAATTTAGGCCTAAATATTTTTTTGAGTGTAGTAACTCCACCATATCGGTATCGGCTGTTATATGTTCATTTTTAATGTTATAGTTATCGACCCGATAAGACAATTTGGCTGATATATAAAGCCGATAAATAATGGATCATTTCCTTAAAGAGATAGTTCACTTTGAAATTAATTTTTGGTATGTTTTAGCTTACCTCAAGGGCATCCAAGATGTAGGTGTCTTTGTTTCCGCAGTAGTTTTTGATGTTTTTAGGTCAAACCGTTCTTGTCTGTCAGTCATATAATGCAGTCCTATGGGGTCCACCTCAAAGAGCATGCACAGAGAAGTCCAACTTAAACATGATTTAATGACTCGAGTCGTAAATGTAAGTACACATTGATGGCCTAAGACACGAAACGAGCGGTTTGTGTGAGAAAACGAACAGTATTTATATCGTTTTTACCTCTTGTAACCACAGCCACGTCCAAGTGATCTGAGGGTGCGGGCGCTTCGGTCTGCGCAAGCGCCGGAAGTGATCTCTCGCACGTGTATGTCACTCATTGTTTACACAGAGATTTCGGAAGTGTTACCTTTCACTGTGAAGATCTAAACATATTTAGATATACAGGAAATCGCAATGGAAGACGATTTCGATATATCAACAGACAACGTTGAATTTTTTTCGCAACCGCGCGAGAGATCACTTCCAGAGCTTTCCGGCGCTTGCGCAGACCGAAGCGCCCGCGCTAGCACAGAAGACCTAAAAATATCAAAATTGAAACTACTGCGGAAACAAAGACACCTACATCTTGGATGCCCTTGAGGTAAGCTAAAACATACCAAAAATTAATTTCAAAGTGAACTGTCCCTTTAAGCTGAGACACTTCAGATGCCCACTGTTCACCATGATGCTTTTGAACTGCTTGAAATATGATTGAAATCACTTTGAAAAGGAAAATACAGTTAAGTACACCATGTGCAGCACAAGTCTGTCATATAGGCAATATAAAATTATAATGAAAACACTACTATATAAGAATGTTGTGAATTATTTGTGCGCCCGTGTTTTAGCACGTTGTTATGGGAAGAGCACATCCAGAACAGAGTTACACCTTCATGACAGCACAGTCGAGTTCACAGCCTTTTGTTTTGTGCAAAATGTAAGTTTTAGTAACATTGTTTATTTTTATTTTTTTGTATATGCATTCAGAGCATGTAGCTCAAACAGTAATGCACAACATTAGCAACTATGATTGGGGGACTGTCATATTACATAACATTATAATGAGAACACTATTGTAATATTGAATTCTTTGGGTTTAGTCACCGTGTTTCAACGCGTTGTTGTTATGGGAAGATCCACAACAGGAGTTACACATTCTGATAAACACGCAACTTAGTTCAAGTTCACTTGTGGATTTGCGTCATTTTGTGCAGATGCAAGTTGTAATATGTTTATGTTGTATAAATATCTAATTCATCTCAAATAGGATACGTTTTGTTGATTTAATTTACCCGCTAACAGAAAGCTTCAGTTCACGGCGTTCATTCAGCTCTTTAGCTTCATTGCACACAGCTCAAACAGCAATGCTGTTATTTGAAGAATATATTAATTACATTAATAATATTAATTTCAGATGTTTCTTTTTCAAAGATATTGATGCATTATTATTAAGAACTAGCTCTTTTACTTTTCTCGTGTCATTTTCACCAACAATATGGTTTAATTAAAATAATTTCATTATTGTCCGTGCGGACAATAATTAAAATAATTTCATTATTGTCCGTGCGGAGGCTATTCCATTGCATTTATCCATGGCACATGCATTTTGATTCTTTATACGCAACTAATGTTGTCCAACGACTTGTTTGTTTGCAGACAAGATAGATTGTTTTTTTTTATTAAGGTAAGTTGGCCATAGGAGTGTAAAATGAATTTGAAAAGTTAAGGAATCCGTGGTTCAAACTAGGCTACTGCTGTATATGTTTGATTTATGTTGAAGTGCTTGGGACATTTCTCTTAATGGTAAATCTTATGTTTTTCAAATCAGGCTCTCAGAAATTAAATACAAATTTAGATTTATCTGCCAAAATATCGGTTATCGGCTTTCAAACACGAAGAATTATTGGCTTTCAGTATCGGCCGAATTTGCCACCCCATGTAGTAACCATCCTCTGCAATGTTGTGATGTCGACAGAGGAGAGGAAGAGCATAAGCTTAAGCACGCTGCCCCAGGGAAATCCTCGGCTTCACTAAGCAGCTTGGTCCTACTCCACAGCTGGGGTGTCATTGTTTTGATAACGCTGTACATTGAAAGGCTGGATGTGAGACTCCATGACCCCAGAGTGTGTGCTGAGAGCGAGGATCTGTGCTTGTTTATTAACAAGCCTGCGTTTCTGAGCTGTCTGCCTGGAACAGTGTCAACTGGATTTGAAACAGCATCTTGCTTACGCTTTGAAACGGTGTGTCTGATGAGTGAGAGAATATTTTGTGTTTTGTTGTTTTATGGCCCATATTTTTAAACACAATAATCTCTAGAGTGAGGTTATGTTGGTAGATGCCAGTGTGGACAAAGCCATGATATATGAATTTCTGACATTTAATTAGGGCTGCACAGTTAATCGGTAAAGTTTGCTTTTTAAAATTATGTCAAGACGAGCCAAAAAGATAAACACATCATGCACTGACTGAACAGATTTTTTTTCCAATCAAATGCTCTCTAGAATGAAAGTGTCCCTCCCTCTAATACTTAGCCTGGCAAGCCAGACCTACATCAAGATGTTAGGTCTGGGAACTCACAATTGGCATACCGCAATCCGAGGGGCGGGATAAACGGTTGTCTTTCAATATCCCTCGGCACGCAATAGGATAGCGCTACAACCAACCAGAGCAACGAACGGCTGTGGCTGAGTGAGTCCCATGCGTTTTTCCACCAGTGAACCAGCTAGTTGGTATATTAAACTTTTGCCGTATCCGGTCGTCAAAACTCTGAACACATCTTCCTGTTTTAGGAATGACTTAAGTGACGTTCTCTTAACTCCAAGTCATCCAGAGTCGCGGGCAAAGCCGATTCGAAAGACCACTGTTCGCCAGCAGCATCTTCTTTGTTTTCAAGCAGAGGGAAATCACCTATGGAAATCACGCGGAACCGTCATAACTCTGCCGTCATATGTTAAGCCCTGCCCACCAACTCTACACGATCTGATTGGCCGGACTAGTTTTTGGTTTTTCCAGCTCAAAAGTCTATGGAGAGTTGCTAGACCACACTTTGCTGCAAAATAATTTTTGCTGCCGCTAGGGTGCGTCTAGATTTCTAGGCTATTTAATACTACCTGTCATAGCAGATAGCAATTTTGGTTCAATGCAAGTAAAGCTTGTTGGGTGTCTTTTTACAAAGGGGCAAGAGATGTCAAAAGGAAATATGTCACAAGAAAGCAAGCTGTTTTGACCTAAATTTTGTTTTACTTTATTTTATTGTAAAAAAGTTCTTAGTTCAGTACACGCGTGCTGTGTGACAGCATTCTGTGCACACGATTCGAAACTTTTGCCATGATAGAGCTGATAATCAATAGCGATTAGTCGACTAATCGTTAGTTGTCTAGAGGAGGCTTAGTCGACCAAAATTGTATTAGTCGCAGAAAAAAAAACCCTGTATCACGCAGCCCGTGAGGAACAGACGGTGGTTCTTTGTGGTTGTTACAGTATGTTGGGCAGGAAATCCAAACGTTCACCTATCATACATCAATCTCAAATGTGGCTTATCATTTGAAACATTTAAGTAGTAACTTCACACGGCGGCTCGCTCTAACGTTAACTTAGATGTGCACTATTATTAGGCACATATCCAAGTGTTTGTGCGGAGTGTGGGGAACCTGCAAAGTATAGCGTGTTTACTGCATGACATGGAGGCGCCACAGTAACATTAAAATGTGCTTTTGTAAGATAAAGAAATCAAACAGGATGTGCTTTCTGCTGTCTCGGTCTCCATGAACTGCATGGAGCGCTTCACAAAAATGAACCAAAACTCAGCTTATAGGCTACTTGCCTCACTGACATGAGAAATATATCTTTAGAAAGATTGAAATGTCCACTTTTATTAAACCAATTCAAAACGAAAAGAAATACTCTGTGCTTATGTAATGTGCATTTCTCTATATAGGCGCATTCACTATGCGAGTCACCATCATCAGCTTCATCTTTGCAGCTGACACTGACTTAGAAATCAATACTTTATTAATAAATAATTTAAATGTTTTCCTGACACATTTATAATCATTACTTTTGCCTGTGCTTGAGCACGGAATAGGCTATTATATATATTAAACGCTTATTATGGTTTAGTATTCTCCTCAGTATATATTTAAGTAATTAAATTAATATAAACTAGAAGTTTAGAAGTAAGCCGTCGACTAATGGCTTAAATGAACGACTACTAGTCGACTAAAAAATCTTTGGTCGGGGGCAACCCTAATTATCCAAAACAATTATAATCAAAAAACAGTCATAGAATGCGCACTGTATACTAACAGTCTCTCGGTAAAGGCAGATCCTGGAGATCATCACACACCCATCCCATAGACTGCTGTACAATAAAATAGAAAAACTTCCCACTGGTGACGTATGCCACAGATCAACCACCAATAGATATAAGTCTCCCCTACATTTTTTTCTTTTTCGACAATCCGTTTCACTTATGTATGAAGGAGAAGATCTGTCGCTACTTCTGCTTCATCGCAATTTTAAAGAGCAGCTCTATTTATTGGCAAAAAATAGGTTTCAATTTGTGTTTCAATGTAATTCTTGTATTTCATTTATCTTAGCAACGATGTGTTTCAGATTATGCAATATATATATATATATATATATATATATATATATATATATATAATTATGTAGCCCTTACAACTAAGCAGGACGTAGCTCAGGTTTTATGCTTTGGCTTAATGTCAGTCTGTTGGATTAAAAAGAGGACTTGAGCTTATGTGTAGTAACCCATTGATATCATTAAATGAGGTCAGTCTTTGAGATTCAAATTTTGTCCTTTGGTTAGTGGGAGGAAGGAACGCCTCCTGATTTGCTTGTGCCTGATCAGAATCGATAATTTTCATTGTTTACTTTTGCCGAACAACAAAATCCACATTGTTCTCCAGCTTGGGCTCAGAGGTACACTTAAAAACCAAACTCACTTCCAAGAATTTCCACCTTAGTTAAATACATATGTTATAGCAACACCTTATAAAATGCCTGGGTAGACTCTCACTCTCCTTTCTTTTTCAAATGCATTCACTGTGTGTTCCTCTTGATTAAAGGTGCAGTTCCAGAAGATCCAGCAGCTCCGTCTGTCTCAGAACCGGGCACAGTACTACGGTGGCTCGCTGCCCAACGTCAACCAGATAGGCAATGCCAGCACTGATTTCCAGGTACCCGGGTTGTCCTCCTTCCACTTCTCAAAGTCTACTAAATCTGTCCAGTTAGGCATGTTCATTTAGGAGAAGATAATCTCCAGCCATATACTCCGCTTTTCTACCCTCAGATAAACGATGTCAAGAGATGGTAATTGCAAACCTTCTCCTTATTAAACAAAGAGTGTGTTTGTCTTCAGCTCTTAGTTTGCCCTCACTTCGCCTACTCCTTCAGTACACGGCAATCCCCACAAGTACACTTGATACAGCGGTGCGCTCCAAGAGCCGAAGAACTGTATCTGTGTCTATCCCCTATGGAGAACAGTGTTGTATACCTTCAGGTGAAAGTGCTCTTGTTGCTCTGAATAAAGCTTCTTTGAGACACCGAGCAGTGATCCCTACTTTTTGTCCTCCATGAGAAATGAAACCTAGAGAGGTAAAAGCACTTTGGAGTAGACTGAATTCACAGGGGGACGCAAGCTAATGGTGGCACTTTGAATACTTTTGTGTGTGTGTGTGTATTCTGCATGCTTTATCAGTCCTGAATTATGAACACTGTACTGAATTTTTAGGCTGTTACTATTAAAGGTGTTTAAAACAGATTCATGCATTTGTAAGCAGAATCTTAACCAACATTTTATTTCTCCACAGGGGGTGTTTCCCTCCGGTCTGGACTCTGTGCGAGGGACTAGACACCATGGTCTGGTGGAGAGGGTCCATCGAGACCGCAATCGGATCAACTCACCGCACCGCAGGCCCATTGACAAGCACGGACGGCAGATATCCTTTAAGTTCACTGCTGTAAAGGTCTTTGTAGAGGGAAATAGTGATTTATAATCTGTGAGGGTCTTTATTTACGCTAGTAGATGCATCATTATTATGAGCTCAGAATGTTGTGTGTGTGTGTGTCATACATGTTGACCTTTGCTTATGTGGGAAGCTTTTTTTAGGCTTTAGGCTGCTGATGATCCTCTATGTATTGATATTCCCACTCTTGCAATGTGGGTGTGAATGAGTGGGTAACTGCAATAACCTCCTGTTTTCTCCCCACTCATGAGAACCGTTTAGAGATTGAAATATCAGTACTCTGGTGTCCTCATTAGTGCGTGATTAATAAACCTTGCCGCAGATCGTCTTAAGTGTTCTGCCGCTAGTTCTGCATTCATTCATCACGCAGGTTGATGAAGTCACTTACTACGCTGGCCCGGCCGGTCTTTTATCTTCCTCGGTTGTGTAGTTGATGGATTTCTTTCATTCATTTTTCTGTGGTTGTCTGTAAGCTTAATCGTCTGTGGGCTCAAAAAATAAATTCGGCCTGCAGATTTAGCTTAGCGCTAAAGATTAAATAAAAAATAAAAAGGCCCTAATGCTTTCTGAGTTACCATGCTGTTTTGAAGATGTTTAGGGCATGAAGAGTCTTCTGCTGATTTAGTTTTGATTTCATCTTCGTTCTTTTAAAGCCAGAGAGAACTTTTGGGGTTTGAAAAATCTATAAACACAGTAAGAAGCTACTCCATAGTCATTCAAATTGGAATAGTTTGGGAATGGTCCACTTGCTCTGATGCCATGTCAAACGAAAAGACAACAAAGACAGTGTGAGGGAGACAGAAGAAAAAAAAAGTGTGGCAGAGTTGAGTTGCATAAGAACTTGACGTTCAAAGTATGGGTTCAAAGTAATTCCACACTGTGCACCTTCTTCTTTGAGCGGGAAAAAGGCATTTGTGATGGTGACCGCAGTCATGCTAAAAACGGCAAGACCTGTTTGTCAGAACTCTGCTCTGTGAATTGAGCCACTCCCTCCCCAAGAGCTGAAGATATTCTTGTGTATTCTCACGGGTTTCTTCAGAGTCTCAGATGATTTAGTTTTCTTCACCTCGTTGTCTGTTTGTATTGTTATGTTTTTGATTGTTTGCCTTAATTGCTGACACTTGTATTTAGTTGTCTCTGAAACAAAGAAAATCATTTTAATGAGTTTAATGAGTAAATGGTTAGCTGGGTTGTTACCGTCTTCAAAGCTTTTTGCTCTAGGCCCAGAACTTTCTGGTTTTAGTTGTTGTTGTTGTTGCTTTTAGTTTTTTTTTAGAGAATTCAGCATATGAATAAGGCAGCTTACTAACACATTAAAGGGATAGTTCACTTTGAAATTAATTTTTGATATGTTTCAGCTTACCTCAAGGGCATCCAAGATGTAGGTGTCTTTGTGTCCACAGTATTTTCAATTTTGATATTTTTAGGTCAAACCGTTCTTGTCTGTCAGTCATATAATGCAGGTCTATGGTCACCACCTCAAAGAGCATGCACAGAGAAGTCCAAATTAAACATGATTTAATGACTCGTAAATGTAAGTACACATTGATGGCCTAAGACACGAAACGAGCGGTTTGTGTGAGAAAACGAACAGTATTTATATCGTTTTTACCTCTTGTAAACACAGCCACATCCAAGTGATCTGAGGTCGCGAGCGCTTCGGTCTTTTCCGGAAAGCACCGGAAGTGAAACCTCGCGCGTGTACGTCACTCATACAATTGTTTTATTTTTTTATTTTTTTGTAATTGTTTTCTTTTACGACGGTTTAAACATCCCGGATAAGCGCAAATTAGTACCCTTTTAATTAGCCGTCTTACCTACAATCTCTGTTCTGTGTAAACAATGAGTGACGTACACGCGTGAGAGATCACTTCCAGTGCTTTCCGGCAGACAAGAACGGTTTGACCTAAAAATATCAAAATTGAAACTACTGCGGAAACAAAGACACCTACATCTTGGATGCCCTTGAGGTAAGCTAAAACATACCAAAAATTAATTTCAAAGTGAACTATGCCTTTAATCTGATGCAGCAAAGAGTCCAGACTGATTCAATTCCGCCTTGTTAGTGATGCATCACTGTTACTTTTTCTCATACTTAAAGTTAGGACTCATCCTCTACATTTGTGACTGATTTTACATTTACATTTTGGTAGCTGCTTTTTGCTTTTTTTCCAAAGCAACTTAAATTGCTTCATGAAGCTATACATTTAGTCAGTTCATGCATTCCCTAGCAATCAAACTCATGACCTTGGCATTGGTGTTGCCATGTTCTTTGAGCCCTCTATCAAAAACAATTTCAAGGGGAATTACATTTTTCAGAAACGCGAGTATATGCCCACTGCTGTGATTTGCAAACTAAATTGCACCATTTGTATGCTCGAGATGGCCAGTGCTTTAATAGAGCCATATATGTTTTACTCAGAGTCAGATCCCAAGGCAGAAGAAAATGAACCAACATGATTGCAACAGTCAGCCTGGTAATTGCTAAAATCTATTATCTGTATATAGTTCTAAAACTATTATTAACTACTTGTTGGACTGCTTTAATTAATTGATATTTAGAAAAACAGGCAGCATTTTGAGAATAGGTAAGAAAAGAGTATGTAGTGAAATGAGATGAACAAACAAAAATGAAAAGCATAGTTAAAAAGGAACTTCAGTCATGCATTTCTAATAGTTTGATATTTTGGATGCAGTTTTGGTATGCAGTACAGTTTGTCTACATCCAGGTACAGAACAACATCAGACGGTCGTACTCAACATCTTACTCTCACAGCAGTAACGCTCTTGTGATTGATGGAGAGACACGAGTAGTTAGGAACACACGTTAAGGGTGTGCAGCGAAAAATCATGACATCAGGAATGGGGCGATTTTAAATCCTGGTGTTTTAGATGTATTATGTGTGTCAATAACAAGGCCAACCATCATTCTATTGCTTTTTGTTTAAGCTTTTGCTTTAAACCGTGCGCTTTTTTTTGGCAGTGTTGGCATGTCCGCTTATTATAAGCATCCTTCAGATTTTTGAGATTTTTTTTTATAAATATGGGCAGTTGTGAGATATATATTTAGCATTATTTTAGGCTTATTTATGTGAGGCAGATCGCTTATTTTGGGCTTGTTTTGTTTAACCAAGTGTTTGCTTTTTCTAGAATGATCTGGCAACAATGTCTCTATGGACTCTAATGTACAGTATGTGGTGCCCAGACCACAGGGCCTGTGAAAGCAATTACGGTGCAGAGAATGGGAATGAGACGAGATGTATTTCCCGGTGATTTGCTTGCAGTGCTGATAGAAATGAGAGACATCTCTGATGCATGTTTAAATACGTCATTAACGTCTAGTCGTTCAATTTGATGTAACGTTAATTAACTTTACGTGGGTTGTGCCTCGGCACGGCTCAGTGTGGATGAACACAATGTTTTGAGGAGAATGTGCAGCTGTCAGTCACCGTGCCGGTGTGGATACTGGCATTCAGAATCACAGATTCTACTTTTTGGAAGTATGACCAACATAAGAATTTTCACTGGAAAATGTCATCTGAACAAGTAACATCCACTTTTGTTCTGACCAACTAAGGGGAAAAAAGCATTGCAGTAAATCGCGCTGATTAAATCTAACGATCGTTTATCATATCATGTCAAATTATACTTTGTTCTCAAATTGTTCATGTTAACAACGTCAGCATTGCATGACTACATGTAATGCCCTTCCGATATTATCCTTGTTTTCGCATGGGTCCGGTTGCAGCCTCTTTTTTTCTGTAGGCACTCCGAAGTCCGAATAAAGTCTTTTGCATTTTACAGCGGGTGAATCTCTAGTTGTCACTGGTGATTGTCGGTTGAACCTTTCTGGATCCGCCATCAAATTGATAAGTTTAATTATATCAAGTGCTGTGAGAAAAGGCTATAAATCCCCACCTCCAGCATCCTCACACGCAATAGCCTACTAGCCGAGACTCCTTCTTTATGTGTACAGATGTGACGTAATGACGCAAAGACATGCTTGAATCTCCCGCAGAAATCCACCAGTACCACTGGAATTAAAAACATTATTACAAGCTTACCGCTTTGAATCGAGCTAAGGCAAGCAGATAGTTTTGAACACTGGCTGGTTATGTATTTTCTCAAATATGTATTTTGGATAATTTTTAACCCAAAAAAAGCTACGGACTGCAGCTTTAAATGAAACAAATATAATTCTGAGATTAAAAACTTATTTTATTTCAGTTAGTTGCCAAGGCAGTATTTCTAATTTCCTTTTAAGTTGAATAACTAATTTGCTAAATCTAAAACTGAAACAAAAAAAATGAATTACAGAAAGCTAAATAGAAATGTTTTAAAGAAAACAGATACTAATAAAAATGACAAAAGCACAACAAAATTACTAAAACTGAAACTTAAATTAAAATGCAAACTGAAAATATATAACAAAACTAATTCAAAGTATTAACAATTACTATAGTAGCATATAATAAATAATACTAAAATAACACTGATGGTCCTGGAAACCACTTACAACACCCTGTCATTATGATGTCATGTTTTTCACGGCCATACGCCACTCACATTTTCTTTAAAAAGAAAAACGATTTTTAAATCTTCTTAAATTCAGAACTACACTCTGCATTTAATCGAAATAAACAGAGACTCTCTAAACAAACATTCACCCACAAGGCTTTTCTGTTAATGTCTAAAGCATTTCATTTTCATGCCACTCTAATTCTGCTTAGTGAGAGAAAATGAGGGAGGATTCAAAGCCCAAATTTGCTTTCACTTAGATTTTTTTCACTTCAGTGCCAGATGTCCCTCACAGTGTTGGCTTGTTTTGCTCCCATCGATTCAACCACGTCTGCCAAGATTAGACTCTCTCACAGGCTCGCCAGCCAACCTAACGCTGTCCAACTTCCTCCTAACCCATGTAGTTGCCTTCAAGCCGCATATATCATGCCAGATGCCTTGATTTGGCTTTGTCTGTATTTCTGGAATCATGTCCTATTGGAGGGCGAGCGGTGTGGGTCGAGTGTGAAATGTCAGAGAGAAAGGTTAGCTCACCCACGCCATCCTGGAGCTTCTGAGACGAAGGTGCTGTCACAGCCACCCTGTCTCTCCACACCGCTTCAGCAGCCATGGGCTAATTAGATCTTAGGAAGGATCCCTCGTAAATCCAAGCCGCCTGGCTTATGTCATCATCGCTCTCCCCAGGCCGAGCATCGACAACAGTATTTACACAGTCACGCCAGGGATTTCATACAAATGATATGGGGTATAACATTACAGTCTTAACTATGAAGTGGTCTAAAATGGTTTTACTGTGGCCTGGCTTTGCCTGCTCATTGGTTGGTTGTGCTGTGTTGTGTCATGGTTTGGGTCACGGGGCAGGCTGGTGGTTGAAGAGTTGGCATGAAGAGCTCAGTCTCTCATTACTGCAACATAACTGATGGCTGTGTTTTCCAGGCCGGTGCAGATGTTGAACAGAAAAAGACTCTGTCCTGCTTTCTGTCTTGTAAATCCACCCCTCCTCCCATTTGGATGTGAGAGTTTTGGCACAGATGGACATGACGAGGCAGCATTGTCAACATCGGTCTGAGTCGAAGTAACAGTGTTTACTCAAGGAGTTCTTCAGCTGGGCTATTTTCTCTCCCATAATTCCTGTTACTTTTGTTTTAGTCTTGAGTTGGTTCGGGCAGAAAATGTAAGTTTTAAAGGGGTCATATCATGAGAAATCAAATGAGAAAAGTTTATTGTAATATGAAAATGTAATGTAAGGGGCCGTTCACGCAGAATGTGTTTTTCCATTCCACTGTGCTACTTTTCTATTGTTTTTCAATGCAAAAATACGCCCTAGACCAGGGGTCGGCAACCCAACATGTTGAAAGAGCCATATTGGACCCCCCCCCCCCCCCCCAAAAAAAATCTGTCTGGAGCCGCAAAAAATTAAAAGCTTTACATAAGCCTTATAATGAAGGCAACACATGCTGTAAGTGTTATATTAGCTTTATTAGTATCAAAATGATAAGTAGGCTACAAATTAGAGCTTAGATCGGCCCGGCCCGGCACATTAAACGTAATTATGAGCCCGAGCCCGATTTTAACCCGACCATTTTTTAATGTGTGGGTCGTTATAACTGACGTTCTCAACTTTCTTTCTCCCGCCCGCAACATTTATGTTTTATCCCGCTCCCGCCTGCAAAAAGACTTTTTTCTGTACCTCCAAATACTTTCAAGTTAGCCTACGTGTCACCACCATACATCCTCCTGATAAATTATTTGTTATTAAAGCACAAACCACTGTTAATTTAACATAAAAGCAAGCAGTTTACTGCGTGCATGGTTTGGCATGACTGAATGCGCGCAAAGTGCGCTCTCTGAATAATTGCTAAAAAGCTGACAGTTCATCGCGATCTCACACATCTCTGTTCTTATCAATGAAGCTGACTGCACAATGAATCTTTCATAATATCCACACTTTGTTCGTTATAATTAAAGGATTTGCCAGCATACAGAATTCAGCTCTGAACAGAAAAGTCAGTTTGAGCGTGAGGGGAGTCTATCTTAAATGCTTCTGATTGGCCATTGCGTTCAAGAAATCAACACATATGTCTGTGATTTGCTACATCGCTCAATGCTGCAAACATGTTATGAATAGAAATTCTGTCCTGTAAATCGTTTCTATTTTGTTTTAGTAGAGTGAGTGCATTACCGCACGCGCCCGCGCTCGGCCATCAAATCTAGTCCCACGCCGCACTCTATTGCGTTGGGAGTGCTCAGCTATCTTTCTCTTTTTCCCCTTGGGATCCATGGCCCATGACACACCCGCCGGTTTGTTTGTTTGTCAGCCACCGGTCTGGCATCACGCCGATCTGACAGACACGTGTGTCACAGTCTATGACGTAAATTCTTCGTTGACAGAAATGTTGAAATTAAATATTTATTATACACATTTTTACAACATTGAAAAACTTTAAGAATGTTTGTCATGTTTTTCCTCCTACAGAAATTATATTAAAACAAAAAATATTTTTCCATTTTTTTTTTTTTTTTTTTTAAAGCTCCAGGGAGCCACTAGGGCGGCGCTTACGAGCCGCATTCGGCTCTAGAGCCGCGGGTTGCCGACCTATGCCCTAGACAGACGTCTTTAACCATTGTGCTCGCTTCTCGCGTCTTTTGCAGTGTCTTTCACATAACACTGCCTTCTAAAAACGCAGCACTCAAGTTAAAATAAGTTCAACCTTTAAAAACGCGTTTCTAGACCTTGTGCTTTTTTCGTTCCACTGACCTGCCGTCTCGCGATTTTAACAGCAAAAACGCATTCTGTGTGAACCGGCCCTAACTTTTAGAACTCAACACTTCTTCAGTCTGCAGAGCATCTATTGAATCAAAGCTGCAAAAAACAGCTTAACATCAAGTGACATCATCCTACCTGGTTTTCAGAGACATTGCCCACAGTGAGGCAACAAGGAGAAAGTCTGATAGATTCTAGTGTTGTCAAAAATATCGTTAAATGTATCGATACTGAAATATCTGAAACAGTTCCGATACTCCTCTTCTGCGGTATTGATACACCAATTAAGTCTGATTTTACCTTATTCCCGCAGGTTTCTCACTCACACCAAAAGCGTTTGCACCACTGATCTATATCAGTGTCGCGTAGCCGCACACATAAAGCCGCCTCTCCAACAACTCATGAGTAATCTGTATTTATTTTTTTACAATGCAGACTATCCAGTGTTATTTCACATTTGATTATTTCATTTCTGTTGTATTTCTTACCTGAATACTACTGTTAGAACCACCTGAAAACTTAAAAAAATATATATTTTTATTTTATTTATTTATTTATTTGATCAGGGACAATGCACAACAAAAACATTAGTCTAAAGAAGAAGAGATGTCATGTACCAGGTTATAGCAAAAAATGCTAATTTCCACCCGCTGTCCCTGGACAGGTTGATGTTATACTTAGAATGTAAGCCATGCAAAGCCAAGTTTATTTGTCTCTTTATTCTATTGTATTTATTTGTCCTATCATTTGCTATTAGTTCTTATTTTATTACTGACAGTTTATTTTAGTTCAAAGTTTCAAATAAAACCTCCCTGTGCTGTGTGTAAGCTATTGCAAATTACCCAAATTATTAGAATGAGATGTTGTTTCCCCTTGGTTTTGAAAATAGTATAGAAAATTGATATGTTTCAAGGTATCATATCGAAGTTAGAAATTCCAGTATCATGACAACACTAATAGATCTTGTGACATGTTATAGATCTTATAGATCTCTCTTTTTTTTTGACCTTGTAATATTTAATCAAAATGTCATAGCTCAATCTTTAAGTCAAAACGACAGACTTCTTTCTGTTGACGTATGCCGGACTTCTCCAGTCATTTAGTCCGATTAAACCCTGCTCCTTCACAATCGACTGCAAATTCATTTTTTTCAACCGATTAACAGAACCAGAGCCATAGCGATCTCTCTATGGCTCTGAACAGAACCAAGTACCTGCTCTGCATTTTTTTCAATACTCCGTTAAACTCTGATGTACATCATAATATGGATGGTCTGTCTACTTCTGTTTCATCGCAACTTTAAACAGCAGAAACTTTAAATGGATAGTTGATCCAAAAATGAAATTTTGTCGTCATTTACTCCTCATGTTGTTCCAAACTTGTATGACTTTCTTTTTTCTGCAAAACACAAAAGAAGATATTTCGAAAAATCTTTCAATTGCTTTGGTTTGGATGAGAACCAAATTTTAATTTTGGGATGAACTATCCTTTCAAATCTTTGGCAAACTTTGTTGTATTCATTGCTGTGTGTAGTGTATGAGAGGGTTTTTTAAGCCAGTTGACATGCCACTGAAAATCTTACACATTTGTTGATCTTGAACAGCCATTTTGGTGCCTTGCAAACTTGTCAAAATAAATGTTAAGTTCTGTGAAGTATTTCTCTGATTTCAATTCAATTCAATTCAATTCAAATTTATTTGTATAGCGCTTTTCACAATACATATTGTTTCAAAACAGCTTTACAGAAAGTGCATTTCAGAAATGTACATAGAAGAATATAGTTAGTTAATCATCATGTATTAATTTAGGGCATAACATATCGCCGGCGTTGAGTCGTCTCTTCACAGGCTGATTTGTTAAAATATATTGTTTTCTCGCTAGATTGTTTTCTAACAAAGAATTTGAGTTACATTTATACGTGTGTAATCTATAGCTTGTTGCATATTTTCATTTTGTGAAGAAGCAACACTGTAAGAAAAAAAAGTTTCAAAAGTAAACATCCTTAATTGGGAATTGTTTTTAAATATTTCTTTCAAATATAAAAATACAGTACATTGCTAAAAATTATGTCAATTTAAACTAAGACAGAGAGTGGAAAATAGTCACGAGAAATTAGATTTATGCCTTTTATATAGGGTTTGAAGCACATGTGATTTTGACATTTGCCTGTGAAAACTTTGGAGGCTTTCCTTGACTGAACTACGCTGAGAGTTCTCCATATGGAACGATGTACCTTTCTCCTCCCCCTGACAACAGCTGGAGAAGGTGAGTCCTCATTTATTTACATTACATTTATGCATATGGCAGATGTTTTTACCCTAAGCGACTTACATTGCATTCAAGGTACATTTAAAAAAAAAAGAGAATATATCAGTTCTTGCTTTCCCTGGGAATCGAACCCTGGACTTTGCCGTTTCTAGCTACAGGAGCTACGACGGTTGAACTACAGGAAAGACACCTCCCCTTCAAACTATAAGGACCGATATAGTCCTACACACCCATCCATGCCAACAAATATGTGTCCGGTCATGCGTGACGTACACTGTTACATTATACGTCATGTAGAATTTGATCATATCTTCTGTTAGTTGTAGGGCAGAGTGCAAAGATGATGTTATCTTGAAATTATGCCATATTAGTGACATCAAGTGGTGTTGCAAGAGAGATCATGTCACATTTGAGGGAGTGTTAATGCATGTTTTTACATTTGCATAGGCTATACCTACAGATGCCTGAAAAGAAAACAGTAACGATGACATGTATGTTTTTTCAGCATGTGGAAAATCCGCATCCGCAGCAATGACAGATAACACCAGTAAAAGGTTAGATAAAAACAAAACAGAGGTGTTCAAAGAGAACTACGCACATCATTGTGTCGTTCTCGACTCTCTGGGTGATTAGAAATCCGTTTTCTGAGAACAAATGCTCACGTTTGCTCTGCACAAATGTCACTCTTCTGGGTTCAGCCCCAGTGAGGTGTAACCATTGGACGGTTTTCCTCATTTGTTTACCGAGGAGTGAATTGCAGCCAGTAATAAAAGGCTTAAGGAAGCTTCTCCTCATCATAGTCGTGTTTTGAATGCAGGCTTGGCCGACGGCCAGCGTACCTTCTTACCAGCAAGCTGCCTCGTCCTCCGTGTTGACTCTGCGACTTGTAAAACTTTCAGAGTCCACGCCCTGTGGCATTGTTTACACCTGAAAACTGGTTGGCCTGATCAGCTTTAGCACGGCCTTCTGTTCCCACTGTGGCGAAACACTGCTGTGACAGCCATATGCCGTAGAGTGGCTCACATGCAATACTAGATGCAGGGCTTTATATTATTGCTTTTAGTTGGAAATGTGAAATATGACAGTTCAAACACTGACCGAATTGCATCGTATATGTTGTTGTTGTGCAAAGCAGCACAGATGGGGGTAGCAGAAGATGAACCCTCATGCGGAGTTTAGCTGAATATATGATCTTAGGCAAACTTTAGAGCTTCATTATAAATGCATAAACCGTGAGCGCTTCACTCCACTTCAAGGGATGTCTCAGAGGCATCCCATGAATTATGAAACATAGGATTCAGAGGATCAAGCGCAGTTAGATCTTCTTATTCTACAATGTATATTTCAGAAATTTGTACTATGCCTTTTTATTTTAATTATATCCAGTTTTCTTCTCGTCTTCAGGAGTGTTGTCTTTGTGTCCTCGTGAAGGCTGAATACTAACCACAGCATTTCTCTCTGATTCTAACAGTCTTTTTTTTTTTTTTTTTTTCTCAAGGATGAATGTTCAGCTATTCTTTAAATCTTTTCTCAGTGTAAACAGCACTAACTAAACCTGCCAGATCTTTTGCTAGCTACCCCTCAGAGCCGCCCTCCCCCAGAACAGATCGTGAGCTCAGCGTGTTTGTACGCCCCCCTCCCTTTTTACTCTGGACCAGATTAGCATTTGCTAAAAACCGTAGTACATGTTTTGGTTTGGTTTTTGTTTTTATTCCGCTTTGCCCGTTTGACCTTGCTTAGATATATGTGATTGAATAGTGAGTGTTCTGCTGTCTCTTTTTTTATGTTGGGATCTTGCGCTGTAATATCTCCTCACGTGATTAAAAGAAGGACCGAACAGATGTTTTCTGTCTGTGCGGACATTAGAGGTTAAGCTAGGTTTAGGACGAGTCAGAGAGCGATTGCAAATGTTTTTTGGCATTTTTAACAATGTTTTGTTTGTGATGTCTGCAGTTTTTTTTTGGTCTTGACAGTGTGACACGTCACAGAAAATCTGCAGATTTACTAGTGTTTGGTTTGCGTAGTTGTAAAAGGGACGTTTGCTTGGATATTTGTGGTTCTTTAACTCATGTAAAGAGAAGGGAAGGGAGGAGTTCTGCTTAGTCGAGGCCAGTTGGCAACAAATCGGTGATTATGGTTATAGAGCAATGTTCGTGAAAGTTCAGTGGGAATTTCCATGTGAAGGGTACAAAATAGGGCCTGAAATGATTGACCTCCCTGTTAGGCGATGTGTTTTACCTTAAAAAAATATCCTCATGAGGTCAAACTAATTATATGAGCATTATTTTCTGAGCTTTGCAAAATGTCAACCTAATCAAATAGACAAAAAGCCTGGGTAATGGTTGCTAATTTTATCTAAATTAAACTATAACTCAGTAGTAGAAAGCAAATTTGGGATCAAATGTTTTTTTTCACAAGCTCACCCAAAAATGACATTTATATCATTATTTACTCACCCCCCATGTCATTTCAAACCCATAAAACTTTAGCTAATCTTTGAAACTCAAATGAAGATATTTTCGAACGACGGCCAGTCTCTCCATTGAAACTCTAACTACAAATTAGTTAATAAAGGCGTCGTAAAACAATTCCATATTTTTAAAATGCCAATAGTTTCTCAATTTAGTTTATTTACTTGACTTTTACTTATTTACTTTCTGCTTAATGCTTGTTTTGTCTTATTTGAAATCATTTTACGTTATCTTGAGGCCCCCTTGTGGGCCCCAGCCCCCTGGTTACATTTAATACTCAGTAAATGAGCATTGGGTGCTAGTATGAGTAGTCTGTAGGGGATTGGTCATGGTTCTCTATTGGTTTAGGAGTCCAGTGGGCAGGTGTTTGGCCAGCAGAGGATGATGGTCCTGATTTACTGGGAGGCCCATCCTAACGTATGCCCTCGAGGAACTGTTTACAGTTCTCTCAACACATCTGTGATGCATTACCTAATGCAGCACACACTGGTTAAGGGTTAATGAGCTGAAAAAGGCGTCACCCTCAGCTCATTAACCCTTCCTTTCCCTTCACCACACAACTTGGTCCAACCAGTGCAGATTTCTGTCGCTTATTCACACAATAACCTGATGTATGGGTGGCGGATGTGTTTTGTGGTCAGTTCACAGGCCTTCTCAGTTCTATCACCAGAAAAGGAAATGTTAGAGGACTGAGGTAGTATGTTGCCAATAAAAAGATGTTGTTGGCATTGAAATGGTAGAGAGAAAGAGAGCCCAATTCTGTAAGATTAATGATTTTTATCGTCCATTCCTAACACATTTTTCGTTTGGTTATTTTTTGACACAACATATTCTCAGGTCTAGATAAACATTGTGTGACCCTTCCTGAACTAACGTTAATGTTGTGTACAGTCTGAATCTCTGTTTTAGTGTGCCCCAGAGCTCAGTTGCATCCGTAGGGACGACAGCGCTACTATGATACTTTCAGGCTCAGTTCTCCCTGGGGTACAGCTGTCCCTCTGGTGTCTGGGTAAACGCGGGCTGGTTCTGAATCCTAGGCAACATCCATATGTTTCCCTGTGGAGTTCAGCTGGACTGGGTCAGGAACTCGGGTCAGCGCTGTTCTCTTAGTCCCACGCTCTCCCATCCTGGATCTGAGCCTCTACTCTTCCCAGACAAGACTTCCTTTGGGAGGTTTTCTAGAAAGGCATTCGACTCAAGTGTGATCCAACAGCAATGGGCTTTCATTGAAAAAAATCTCTCCGTTTTTGGTGGTCTGCCTGATGCCAGTTTGAAAACATCTGCTTTTCACGTCGTTTGTGATCAAGGGTCAAATAACAAGCTGTTTACAAAGCCGTTACTCCGTTAAGACTTCCTGGTGCATTTCTATTTATGCCATATACTGCTGCCTTTAAACTCTTCTATTTTAAGTCTTAAAATTCACAGATATTTCCAGCATGGGTGGTCGATGGGCACTGACTTTAGTGCTTCATATCTGGCATGTGCAGCTAAGCCCTAATGCACTTCAAAGCAAGGGGAACAGACCTGCTTTACAGAATCATTAGAAAGAAGGCCACTTTCTGTTGTCACAAGGAGTATCTTTTTTCCCTTGAGCATTACATCACCCTAGTGTGGTCTGGCATACTGTAGCATCTCCTTAGCTGCAGAGCGGGCTGCAGGAAATCTGTTTATTATTTCTCTTTATTGTCTTAGTGATAGGAATATGTTAACCCTGTTAGTGGGAACCACAGGCTACATCTGCTGGACTTCTTACGCATCTACACGGGCGAACGTGGATCATTATACATTCATGTCTTGCACTCGCCGTGAGTAATGGCACCGCTGAGTTATGATATCAATGGCTGCTTTGATAAGCAGTTACAGTTATAAAGAAATCAATATTTTGCTTTAATATACACTACCGTTCAAATGTTCACCAAACCTGCATTTGTTTGACCAAAAAAAAGAATAATAATATTGTGAAATATTATTAAATAATAATTCAAAAATAATTGTTTTCTATTTGAAAATAATTTTAAAATGTAATTTATTTCCTCATTACTCCAGTCTTCAGTGTCACATAATCCTTCAGAAATCATTCAGCAGATTTGCTGCTCAAGAAGAATCTTATTATTATTTTTGATTTTGATGTTAATATTTAATGCTTAATATTTTTGTGGAAACAGTTTTTTTTTAGTTTATTTTAATTCATTTAAAGTTCAAAAGAAGAACATTTATTTGAAATCTAATTATTATTATTATATTTTTTTTACATTGTCATTTTTGATCCGTTTAAAATCTGAATAAACGTATTATTTATTTATTTAAAAAAGTAATCTTACAGATCCAAAACATTTGAACGATAGTGCATTTAACAGTACAGTATGTATGTTCCCTGGAAATCGAACCCATGACCTTGCCGTTGCTAGCACCATGCTCTACCATTTGAGCTACAGGACTAGACTAGAGTCCTGAAAGAAACCTTTTCTCCGTCCTCGTCACAAACCACAATCTTTAAGGTCACAGAGCCTTTGCTTTTTGTCCCTGAATTGCATGGCTGTCACAAAGATTAAGGTTTTTATATGTGTTGATTGCGTTTGTGGCCAGTAAGATGTATTTGTTTATTTGGTTTAGTCTGTATCCTGATTTCCCGGTGTGGTTACTCTACTGCAGTGTTGCCTTCGTGTTTCTTTCATTAACCATTAAAGATATTATAGCACTTTTGTTTGCTCTCAGACGTAGCAGATCCAATCTAATTGAAGCAGTAAATCAGTGCTGCACACAGCATTAGACTAACCTGGGGGAATAGGCTCTGATTTCTACCACTCTCTTTATGTTTTCCTGAAGGTGTCACAGAGAAATTTTCACCCTGTTCGCTCTCTTCTTCTCTTTGTCTCTTGCTTGCTCATCCTGCTGTACTAACCCCTGAGCCAGGGCTACAGGTTCAGTACAGTAGTGAGTAACACGTGACTGTTTCCATTTTCTAAAGGGAGCAACTGCCATGGACTGAAGAGAAACGACCTGGATTTAGATTAATATCACAGCTTAACAGGTGACCTTTGACTTTCAAATTCCTCTCACAGATCTCCTCTGGACCTGTCTTATTTTTTATTTTTTTCTCATTATCATCTCCTGCAGATCTCCTTCTCGGCTCATTCTCCTTCTTGTGTTTTAGATCTTATCAAATCTGATTCTTTATCAAGTCTTCATACAAACAGAATAATTTCAAGCAAATCACAGATGCCGTTTCTCTACTTGGCCGACTATTCTCTGTACACTAATATTTCACGGTACCAAACTAATCCAAACCAGGGATCATTATTTCTACTAATCTGTTTTTTTTTCTTTCCCCATCACCACACTCATTATTGTGATGTAGAGTGACTGCACCCTTGAACTATTGCTCTACAAAAAAAACAGCACTAAAACAGGTGTTTTCTTTTTCAATGTCACCTGAGAATGGTTTAATGATCAGACCTGATAAAGGATGTAAAGCAGAGAGAGGCTCTGGAGGACAGTGAAGTGCTCTTGAGAGTGCCGTCATGTATAGTTGCTTAATAAAGGCAGTGAGCGAGGGCAAAGGGTCATGTGGCCATGGCTTGGCTCAGCAATTTTTTTCTTTTTTTTCAATGATGGCTCACTGACCGAGCTGTTTTGTTTTTCCTCCATCCTTCCCTTCTCCCACAGAACAAACTCTGACTCAGCTCTGCACACCAGCGCCATGAGCCCAAACCCACAGGATCCTTTTGGCATGAACCAGCAGATGGGCAGAGGACCTCCTCAGCGGAACGGTGAGCTCGGCTTCCTCCCTCTAGGCCTGTTTACATACTAATTTTGAGCCAATTTAATACCAACACAACCATATTCTAATCATTGTTATTGTGTAGCATAACAGTGTTGCACAGGGGTCAAATGGATTGCACAATGTCAGGCATGGATGATAAATCAATGATTTATAGCAGACCCAAATCAAACCGTGGCACCCGTGGTGCAGCGTGTTTGCATGACACAGCTGGGGCTCACTGTCATGATGTTTATCTAGTTGTCTTGGTTACAAACGCAGGCATTTCAGATGGTATGCTGAAAATGGTTGACAATTAGCCCGGCCGGCCCAGTGTGCTGTTAAAGGATGTTCCCTCTACCATTATTTTTCTGTGATTTCTAGAGCTCTCGTAAACAAATGAATGTACATCCCCATGAGCTTTACAGATAGTCTGGCTCATCCTCCCCTAAAAAGACAGATAGCCAGAGTTCACATACACGTGCTGCAGTGAAGATGTTTGTAAGACTATAGGATTATGTCATAGGGCGGGATGATCTGTTTCATCATTGTATCAGTTGAAGTCTGCCAAAGACATTTGTGGCTGTGCCAATACAATAATACGATAAATCTTTTTTTCATGATATTGCATCAGCACTTCACTTTTATTGAATCATGTATTCATTGAATCAAAAGTACAGTAAATATTTATAATGTAATAAAAAATCCTATTTCAAATACTTTCTACCCATCAAGCAATCCTGATTTTTTTTTATCATATTTTAATATATTAAAATAGAAAACAGTTGTTTTGCATTGTAATAGTATTTCACTTTTTTTTCCTGGAATTTTTTTTCTTCTTTCAAAGACATTTAATGATCCTTTCTTTTATCTCCATACTAAAATGTCAGTTGACCAGACAGTGATTCATCTTTTCTGTCATTGGTGTCCGGGACAGCCTGAGCCCAGAGACTGTAGTGTACACCGTGTTTATAAATGCTTAGCTTAAAGGTGTGCTAAAAATGAATAGTGCTCATAAATAGCAGTTGAGAATAGTATTCTCACTTGAAATGAAGTTGAGGCTTGAACCATGAAACAGTGTTTGATACTTCGCCACTAGGTTTAAGTACCATTTTAATTTGAGCAAATCCGATTCTTATTGATTCGTTTTGATTCCAATATGGTTAAAAAAGAAATATTTAGTGGCGACGCAAAATAGAACTCAATTTAGCACTTGCGCCCTGTTTTCTATAGGCTTCTGAAAAAAGAAAAATCAGAAGCCTATAGAAAACAGGGCGCAAGTGCTAAATTGAGTTCTATTTTGCGTCGTCTTGCGCTTAAAGGTATTGTAGGTAGGAATTTTATAAAAAACTTTTTTCCAAATTTGTTTAAACTTTCTGTATATATCAATGCATAATTAAAATGTAAGTACTCTGATAAAAAGAGTATACAAATCGAGTGACTCTAGACCGTTTAATCTGCACTAAACACAGCTCATTATTTCCACCCGGGACGAAACAAAGGATTGGCTTAGGCGACTGTCACTCTCTCGCAACCATGGCAACCACCCTTTTGCCACACAGGACCTGCCCACTTGCGCGTACCCGTTTGATTTGAGGAATTCAAGAGGCACGGAACCTAGGAATAGCAAAACAATGGCAGAGAAAGACCAATCAAAATTCACATATGCAGTTCGCGAAGGCAAACCAGGCAAAAAAGGAAGACAGTAACGTTACTAGAAAAGGCAATGAACAAAAAGTCTTTGGATAAACAACGAAATAAAACGCGTGTCAATATCGGCGTGGCTTTCCAGCGATGGCGAGAACTGAGAGACCTCAAGGGGCTGAAAAGTGACGCCTTGTGACGACCTCCTCTGCTTCGCCCTCGACCCCGGATCTGTCCTCGAGCTGACGATGCGGTACTTGTCTCTGGAGTGTAGTCCTCATCAGAGTCAACAATGCTTTCATCATGGAAACTCTTACATGCAGAACACCATATATGTTATGAATGTTACACGAAATTCATCTTCATCACAGTGTAAATGATGGCAATGGAAAAACGTGTATAATATATATTTTAAACTTTACCAATAGTACTGAGTACTAAAATACATCTTATTTGTTTATCTTCATAATGATAAAGTTAGATTTTTTTATTACATGTGATTCTGACATGATGTCACTACATGCACTGCGCTCCTTCCTCTCCGCTCGTCTCAGGTAAATAATGCGTCTTCAGCTCAGCAGCGGTCGGAGTCGCGCGTTCATGTGTTTTTGGGGCGTGGCTTTGGAAGGAGCCCAGAAGGGAGGGGGTGGAGTGAATGGAAATAATGAGCTGTCTTTAAAACAGTCGTGAGAGGTCTACAGACACTCGATTTTTATACTTTCTTTTTCAGAGTACTTACATTTTAATTATGCATTGATATATACAGAAAGTTTAAACAAATTTGGAAAAAAGTTTTTTATAAAATTCCTACCTACAATACCTTTAAATGGTTTAAAATCACTTTAAAATGGGCACACAGGAATTGATCGGAATCCAATTTTTAACAAGTATCTGATTCTAGAAATGGAATCAATTTTCAATTCACAACCCTAGTCAATACTTAAAGGGATAGTTCACCCCAAAATTCTGTCATTAATTACCCACCCTCATGCCTTTCCAAACCCTTTCGCTCATCTTCGTAACACAAATGAAGATAATTTTGATGAAATCTGAGAGCTTTCTGTCCCTCTGTTGACAGCTACGCAACTGACACTTTGACGCTTCAAAGAAGTTAATAAAGAGATCGTAAAACTAATCCATATGAGCAGTTTAGTCCAAATTTTCTGAAGAGACAGGATCGCTTTATATGATGAACAGATTGAATTTAGGCTTTTATTCACATATAAACATTGATCATTGAACATAATCAGAAGCTCAACCGTACCTGCTAGACGTGTGAGAACAAACCTCTTCCAGAAGCTCAAACCTTTCTGCATAACACGAGAATGAACCTCATTGGTTCTTGCTGAAGCTCAAACGCGCGTAACACGAGAATGAACCTCAAACGTGCATAACACGAGAATGAACCTCATTGGTTCTAGCTGAAGCTCAAACGTGCGTAACACGAGAATGAACCTCAAACGTGCGTAACACGAGAATGAACCTCATTGGTTCTTGCTGAAGCTCAAACGCGCGTAACACGAGAATGAACCTCAAACGTGCGTAACACGAGAATGAACCTCATTGGTTCTTGCTGAAGCTCAAACGTGCGTAACACGAGAATGAACCTCAAACGTGCATAACACGAGAATGAACCTCATTGGTTCTAGCTGAAGCTCAAACGTGCGTAACACGAGAATGAACCTCAAACGTGCGTAACACGAGAATGAACCTCATTGGTTCTTGCTGAAGCTCAAACATGCGTAACACGAGAATGAACCTCATTGGTTCTTGCTGAAGCTCAAACGTGCGTAACACGAGAATGAACCTCATTGGTTCTTGCTGAAGCTCAAACGTGCGTAACACGAGAATGAACCTCAAACGTGCGTAGCACGAGAATGAACCTCATTGGTTCTTGCTGAAGCTCAAACGTGCGTAACACGAGAATGAACCTCATTGGTTCTTGCTGAAGCTCAAACGTGCGTAACACGAGAATGAACCTCAAACGTGTGTAGCACGAGAATGAACCTCATTGGTTCTTGCTGAAGCTCAAACGTGCGTAACACGAGAATGAACCTCAAACGTGCGTAACACGAGAATGAACCTCAAACGTGCGTAACACGAGAATGAACCTCATTGGTTCTTGCTGAAGCTCAAACGTGCGTAACACGAGAATGAACCTCATTGGTTCTTGCTGAAGCTCAAACGTGCGTAACACGAGAATGAACCTCAAACGTGCGTAACACGAGAATGAACCTCATTGGTTCTTGCTGAAGCTCAAACGTGCGTAACACGAGAATGAACCTCAAACGTGCGTAGCACGAGAATGAACCTCATTGGTTCTTGCTGAAGCTCAAACGTGCGTAACACGAGAATGAACCTCAAACGTGCGTAACACGAGAATGAACCTCAAACGTGCGTAACACGAGAATGAACCTCAAACGTGCGTAACACGAGAATGAACCTCATTGGTTCTTGCTGAAGCTCAAACGTGCGTAGCACGAGAATGAACCTCAAACGTGCGTAACACGAGAATGAACCTCATTGGTTCTTGCTGAAGCTCAAACGTGCGTAACACGAGAATGAACCTCATTGGTTCTTGCTGAAGCTCAAACGTGCGTAACACGAGAATGAACCTCAAACGTGCGTAACACGAGAATGAACCTCATTGGTTCTTGCTGAAGCTCAAACGTGCGTAGCACGAGATTGAACCTCATTGGTTCTTGCTGAAGCTCAAACGTGCGTAACACGAGAATGAACCTCAAACGTGCGTAACACGAGAATGAACCTCAAACGTGCGTAACACGAGAATGAACCTCATTGGTTCTTGCTGAAGCTCAAACGTGCGTAGCACGAGAATGAACCTCAAACGTGCGTAACACGAGAATGAACCTCATTGGTTCTTGCTGTAGCTCAAACGTGCGTAACACGAGAATGAACCTCAAACGTGCGTAACACGAGAATGAACCTCATTGGTTCTTGCTGAAGCTCAAACGTGCGTAACACGAGAATGAACCTCATTGGTTCTTGCTGAAGCTCAAACGTGCGTAGCACGAGAATGAACCTCAAACGTGCGTAACACGAGAATGAACCTCATTGGTTCTTGCTGAAGCTCAAACGTGCGTAACACGAGAATGAACCTCATTGGTTCTTGCTGAAGCTCAAACGTGCGTAACACGAGAATGAACCTCAAACGTGCGTAACACGAGAATGAACCTCATTGGTTCTTGCTGAAGCTCAAACGTGCGTAACACGAGAATGAACCTCATTGGTTCTTGCTGAAGCTCAAACGTGCGTAACACGAGAATGAACCTCATTGGTTCTTGCTGAAGCTCAAACGTGCGTAACACGAGAATGAACCTCAAACGTGCGTAGCACGAGAATGAA